ATGCAACACCCGCTGAGTGCCATGAAACAGCTTGAAAGATCAAAGACAATTTTTAATATAACTCCGACTGGATTTGTCTGAAAGAAGTCATATACACCTAGGATGACTTGAGGGTGAGTAATTTATGGGCTAATTTTCATTTTTGGGTGAACTAACCCTTTAAGTCGCTGGGGTATATTTTTAGCAATAGCCAAAAAAAACATTGTATGATTAAAAAATATCGATTTTTCTTTTATGCCAAAAATCATTAGGATATTAAAGATCATGTTCCATGAAGATATTTTGTAATTTTCCTGCCATAAATTTATATATTTTTTAATTAAAATAAATACATTTTTGATTAGTAATATGCATTGCTAAGAACTTCATTTGGACAAATTTAAAGGTGATTTTCTCAATATTTTTATTTTTTTGCACCCTCAGATTCCAGATTTTCAAATAGTTGTATCTCGGTCAAATATTGTCTTATCCTAATAAACCATACATCAATGGATCAAAAGCTTATTTATTCAGCTTTCAGAAGATGTATAAATCTCCATTTCAAAAAAGTTACCCTTATGACTGGTTTTGTGGTTCAGGGTCACAAATATATATATATATATATATATATTAGTAGACATAAACTACCTTGGATAGCAAGCGGCAACAGACAGCACATGACACAGGTAAAATAGAGCAAAGACATAAAAGTCTGTATTTGATACTTAAAACCTTTATCAGGAGTGCCTACTCGCAAATCAATATTTTGCAAAGGAGGCATCTTTAAAGTTATGTTCAAAGCCTGCCTTAGTTCCTTAGTATTCATTAACCTCAGTTTGCAGGAAATCCATACTCTTTGTGAGAGGAGGATGAGCTACATCTCAGTGACTTCTAATTCTACCAAGAGGGAGAGCGAAACAAGAATAAAGCACAGACTACAGCGTAACAGTGATTGACCATCTTTCCAAACTCATACTATGGATGCAGAGATTGCAGCAAGAGAGTAAATTCAATCCTTTCCATCACGCCATAGCGTGTTCTGCTCAGAGGCCCGGCTCTCCCATGCTGCCTTTGCGGCTGCCAGAGGCATGTCTCTCTGCTCACCTTGTATAGTACTGCAGTGGGAAGGAGATTAATGGAGGACTAACCGATTTAGTTAGGCCCACTTCAAAAATCCAGCTGCACAGCAATTCCTTTCACACAAGCAGCAGCAATACCTTGCTTTGAAGAGCATAATCTGAGATTTAGACCTTAAAAGGGTTTATGTTGTAAGAGGGTTTGTCTCTCAGGCATGCATTGCTTGTACACAGATTATTGCAAATTAAATATACACGACAGATGCGTCTGCACATGTTCAGGGCTTCTTACCTCAGCATGGCGTTTTTGCCGTCGCTGCGCATGCAACGAACTTGGCGCGTCTGGTAGCCGATCTCCACGTCCAAGCCCTTGAGGCCGTGGTGGTGGTGGAGGTGGTGATGGTGGTGCTGGGAGCTCTGGATATGTCGTTTCACGGTGTTCCTCTCCGTATCTCCCGTGGTGAAGTCCAGCATGGTCCTTCCGCTCATCCAGAGCCCCTTGTGTTGCGGCTGCCTGCACTCGCTCCAGGGGCCGACTTTAAGGCTGTATTGATGCTCGCTTTCCCCAACCGGACAGGGCAGAAGGTTTGCACAAGTCCTTGTTTGGGTGAGATTGGGGCAATTGGCTCCTCCGTACATCGGCGCCGCTAGAACGTGTCGAGTCCGATGCTGGAGACCCATGCCGCATGTTCGACTGCAGCCAGACCAGGCGGAGAAATCGGATACGATGCAGTCGTGAGGGCAGGGGATCAAGCAGGCCTGTTCGAGCGCCGGTCGTGGGGAAAAGAACTCGCATATCCTCTCCGTAACCGTCGTGCGGTTTGAGGTGCGCACGCAATGGACCTTCCGTCTCTGGATGCCGTGCTGGGCCGTGACGCACTCCGTTGTCCTCGGTTTGAGCGCGTTGGACTGGAATGGGGCTAGAATGCACGGCCCCCATTCTGAAACCTCCCATTCAAAGAGGTCCTGGTGCCACTCACACACCTTAAAGCAAGGCCTCTGGCTCTCTGGTTTGTCTGAGTGCCGGCAGTTGGAGTGGTGTGTGGTCCATCCTTCTGAGTGGATGCACCACACTGTCCTGGATTGAACCCCACCAGTTCCACATTCTTCTCCTATGCACCTGCCCCACTGACCTGGAAAATAAGAGATGAAATAATAAACATTAGCTCTTTAACTTTAAGGATAATCAACTCATTGGGATAGAGCACCCAAAAATGAAAATTATGTCATTAATTACTCATCCTCATGTTGTTTCAAACCCGTAAGACCTTCGTTCATCTTTGGAGCACAAATTAAGATATTTTTGATGGGATCTGAGAGCTGTCTGACCCTGCATAGACAGCAATACAACTGAAATGTCCAGAGACGTAGAAAAGAGATCAAGGAGAAAAAAAAAAAAAAAAGCCTTTATTCAACAATTCGTCTCAGAGTATCAGCTGGATATAAACAACATGTGCTGTTCTGTGTCAGCTGCGTCACGCCGGATCTGTTTCCTATGTTGCTGTGATTTGATCTGAACGAAAACAGTTTACGTTACAGTTACGTGTTTAACAGCGTATCCGTGTGATGCAGCTGACACGGAACAGCATACGCTGTTTACGTCCAGCGGATACTCTCCAAAATGGCGCTACAGGGTGATGCGGAGGAGACTGTAACGTAGTTTGTAGGTCGGGAAGAAGGAGGCGGGAACCGGCGAACACTCAAAGAAAACTTTAATAATAAAATGAACACAAAATATCCCCTCGCGGACGACTGCCATGCACAAACGAAACCAAAACACAAAAATAAAGTCCAGGCCTGGTCCTCTCTCCCTTTCCCTGTCGTCACTCCTCCTTTGCATCCTTCCGGAGCTCCTCTGTGAGACTCGAGACCGTTGAGTTGTGCAGGTGTGCTCATTATCAATTATTCCACCGGCCTCGCTCCGTTCCCACGACTCTCGGCCCCGCCCCTTTCATCAAGGAGAAAAAAAAAAAAAAAGCCTTTATTCAACAATTCGTCTCAGAGTATCAGCTGGATATAAACAACATATGCTGTTCTGTGTCAGCTGCGTCACGCCGGATCTGTTTCCTATGTTGCTGTGATTTGATCTGAACGAAAACAGCGTATCCGTGTGATGCAGCTGACACGGAACAGCATACGCTGTTTACGTCCAGCGGATACTCTCCAAAATGGCGCTACAGGGTGATGCGGAGGAGACTGTAACGTAGTTTGTAGGTCGGGAAGAAGGAGGCGGGAACCGGCGAACACTCAAAGAAAACTTTAATAATAAAATGAACACAAAATATCCCCTCGCGGACGACTGCCATGCACAAACGAAACCAAAACACAAAAATAAAGTCCAGGCCTGGTCCTCTCTCCCTTTCCCTGTCGTCACTCCTCCTTTGCATCCTTCCGGAGCTCCTCTGTGAGACTCGAGACCGTTGAGTTGTGCAGGTGTGCTCATTATCAATTATTCCACCGGCCTCGCTCCGTTCCCACGACTCTCGGCCCCGCCCCTTTCATCACAGAGACGAATTGTTGAATAAAGACATTATTTTTTTTCCTTTCACGCACAAAACGTATTCTCGACAGACAGACGAGGCGAGAGAAAAGGCCACCCAGTGCACGGCGACGGCTCCTCCATGTTCGGGCAGCCGGCAGGAGTCCCCCGTTCCCTGCTCCTCCCCATCATGGCGGATGGCAGCAGGCTCTGGCCTCAGGCGAACGGCGGCGACTCCTCCGCTCCCTCACGGACGGCAGCCGTCCCTCCACATCCCAGGCGGCCGGCAGCGAGTTCGTCCGCCCCCGGCAACTCACTCCAGCCCACCGCCTCGAGTGTCCACGGTGGCAGACTGCTCCGCCATGCTCGATGGCACCGCGGACTCACCCCAGCGGCGAGGGATCTCTGGCAGCGTGCCTCTCCTTCCTCCTGGGTTTCGGCACCAATGTAACGTAGTTTGTAGGTCGGGAAGAAGGAGGCGGGAACCGGCGAACACTCAAAGAAAACTTTAATAATAAAATGAACACAAAATATCCCCTCGCGGACGACTGCCATGCACAAACGAAACCAAAACACAAAATAAAATCCAGGCCTGGTCCTCTCTCCCTTTCCCTGTCGTCACTCCTCCTTTGTATCCTTCCGGAACTCCTCTGTGGGACTCGAGACCGGTGAGTGGTGCAGGTGTCGCTCATTATCAATTACTCCACCGGCCTCGCTCCGTTCCCACGGCTCTCGGCCCCGCCCCTTTCATCACAGAGACGAATTGTTGAATAAAGACATTATTTTTTTTCTTTCACGCACAAAAAGTATTCTCGTAGCTTCGTAAAATTATGGTTGAACCCCTGATGTCACATGGATTATTTTACAGATCTCCTTGCTACGTCTCTGGACTTGGGAACATTTCAGTTGTATTGCTGTCTATGCAGGGTCAGACAGCTCTCAGATTCCATCAAAAATATCTTCATTTGTGTTCCGAAGATGAAAGAAGGTCTTACGGGTTTGAAACGACATGAGGGTGAGTAATTAATGACATTTTCATTTTTTGGGACAACTAACCCTTTAAATAGTTATGTAACTTAGCTCTCATAACCATGAGCTTAGCCCAGTGAGCACACATAAACAATAAAAACAGGAATATTCTGAAGTATTACAATTTAAAATAAAAGTTCATTTATTCCTGTGATGACAAAGCTGAATTTTCAGCAGTCATTACTCCAGTGTCATATGATCCTTCAGAAATCATTATAATATGCTGATTTGGTGCTCAAGAAACCATTTTTTTTTTATAAATATCAACACAGTTGAAAACAGTATTCTAATTAATATTTTGTGGAAATTGTGATTTGTTTTTATTATTATTTGAATAGAAAGTTCAAAAGAACATTTGTTTGAAATATAACTTTTTTTGTAAAACATAAAAGCTTTCCAGTGTAAAAGTCTTTACTGTCACATTTATATACTGTCAGTGAACAAAAGCATTTTATCACTTACCCCAAACTTTTGAATGGTATTGTATGGAAAACAACACTGCAACATTTTATATAATTTGGAAAATCTACATGGGAAATTACATAATTTACATTTTTAGGTGAACCATCAATTTAAATATCATAAATATCTGAAAAAATTAGTGCATTAACAAAACATTGCTAAAACATATACTGAGTGTTATTTTAACACCAAACAGGAAATATTTTATTAACATATTGCACAGTAGATGTTTAATGTAATGTCCAATAATGAACAAACTCACTGAACAGACATGTTGGCAATGTACTGTAATGCACGTGTGTTATTAGGGACTATGTATAATAAAAAATATATAATTTTTTGCTTTTTCTATCTTTCTAAATTGATGGCCACATCAAAATCTCATCTATGCAAACTGAAAATAAAAGGTAAACAGTAAGGTTTTAAAAATCCATGCTAGCCTGAAAGCAGCATGCTCAGCTACAACATCCTAAACTGCTGAATAGTATTGTAGCTCACTGAAGCACATCAAGTTTTTTAATGAGACTGCAACACTGCCACAGGTTTAATACATCACTATGTTTATGTATTTAACTGAAGGAATTACATGTCTCATACACACTTTCCTATGCCAAAATGTGCAAAATAGCTAATAACATGTAAACACCATAATTTCACGTTCATTCCCCTAAAGAACCCAAGCTAATATTAACAAGTAAAGGCATTTCAATGCCTCCCACAGACTCCTTCCCCTGAGTCTACAGTCTGACTACACATGCACAAATGGATCAAGATGGATTTTTCCTCTGTTATTGTACCTGCATATACAACTTCAGGCTAAAACCCACACGATTCAGTTAGTGAATGCAGCTGTTAAAAAAGAAAAACAGTGAAAAGCTGTGTTCTTTTAAATTCACACTTGAAGCTGAAGTGTGTAATTTCTGCGTCAGTAGCCTCAAAGTATGTAACTGCAAAAATAATGATTATTTACAAGTGAGAGTTTCGCCCCAAACACATGCTACTGGTTAAGTCAATGTTGCTCTATTAAACTAGTCAGGATGTTTAAAAAAAATGCTTAGTTTTCACACTGCAAGGGAATCACCTTACAAATGGCTTACTTAAAGTTTTAGCTGCATATTAAGTAAGTTAAATTTTTAACATCAAAAAATTAGAGGTCAAACATCACCTTGAAATTTAGAAGGCAAATATTATATTGCACAGACCACAGATGAACAACCCTCTCAGTGTAGACACTCTCAACCTCAAAATCACATTCATAGACATTAGAATGTGAACTACAGCTTGTGGGGCTGTACAGAAACGAGCAGGCACAGACTCAGTATAGGTGTTTGAAAAGCTGAGCACCCATTTTAGAGTAAAGGATCAAGAGTGGAGCAAATATCTACAATACAGACACTACAAACCAACTCCATGCGGTGAGAAGTGAATATATCTTATATAGACAGCCAAACACAGCCCTAGCATGAAAGATATACCTGCATAGGGATGCTAGAGAGCTGCACACTGTTAAACAGATGCACAAAAATAATTAGTACATAACTAGTATAAATCATTTGGGCAGACTTTCTAGTGTTGTTTTCCATGCTAGACTGGTTAGCCATATCACAGAAATGTGTGTTGTTGTTCCACATGTCATTGTCAACACAGCTGTAATTCAGCTGCAGGTAATCAGAGCTGTGTTAATACTCAGACCATTGTTTTAACAACACAGATCAATAGTCAGGAAGTTAATAATGAGTTACATTTTAGACACACAGAATGATGTTCCTGAATGAATCAGCATTTTTGAATGAATCACTTGAGCAAATGATATAATGACTTGCTCAAAGACTAAACAATGCAGCGTTTTTAAATGAATTAGTTGTGTGAATGATTCAATGACTCACTCAAAGACTGAATGGATTTTTGAACTAATCAGTTGAGTAAATTATTCACTAACTCACTAAAACACTGAATGAACGTTTTTGAACAAAACTGTTGACTGAATGTTCAATAACTTAAATACAGTTGTCTAATTCCTGAATAAATCAACGTTTTGAACACTATGGCTGATCGCTTGATGAAAAGGTTCACTTTTTTAGGTCTCCACCTAATAGCGTAAACCCGCAATCATTCTAGACTTTGCTCATGTGAAATGTTAATAGACACTGAAATGGTCATAATATGATGTCACTCTCACCAGCATCTTTAAAAAAAAATAATAATAATAATTCTACATATATCTAAAATGTAGAAACATGAAATCTACTTCCCTTTACTGCGATGCTCCAGTCCTACAGATTTAGGCCCAATCCCAATTCTATTTTATACCCCTTTCCCTTCCCCTACCCTTCCACAGAGTGTCAAGGGGTAGGGGTGAAAATATTCCCCTAAGAATTGGGACACCACTACTATGCCGTCACATGTCATCATACGTCATCTATCTCCTACAATACACACACCTATACTGGTGTGCTGGTGTGCATTACAGTCTTTAATTACCGTTCTATATTAATACGCTGCTTACGGACACACACACACACACACACACACATTTAGAGTGGCCTTTTATTGTGGCCAGCCTAAGGCACACCTGTGCAATAATCATGCTGTCTAATCAGCATCTTGATATGCCACACCTGTGAGGTGGATGGATTATCTCGGCAAAGGAGAAGTGCTCACTAACACAGATTTAGACAGATTTGTGAACAATATTTGAGAGAAATAGGCCTTTTGTGTACATAGAAAAAGTCTTAGATCTTTGAGTTCAGCTCATGAAAAATGGGGGCAAAAACAAAAGTGCTGCGTTTATAATTTTGTTCAGAGTATATATGGGAGATTGCGCAGCTCACACATCCAGGAGAAAAGAAACTTGTCAACGCTGCCCCACGACTTTTATTAATAACAGTTTAAATACTGGATCACTACATAATATTTTCCAGCAACAAGAGGATAAAATCGCTGTTTTTTTTAAGTAAACTCACTCTAAAAAGAGAAACGCACAGACGCGCATACACACAACTTTCATCTCTCTCTCTCTCTCTCAAATTGGCAATATTTGAGAAAAGGGTTTAGCGATTTCTAATTATTGGGGGGACTAGCCCCCCTCAATGTCTACGGTGGTTATCGCCCTGATCAGACATGAAAATATTTTGTGGCACTATCGTGCAGTCTGTAATGATATGACGTTAGCAAATATTAGCGATTTTTTGCAAACATTTCTTTGAGTAACATGACTGTAAATATGAACTCACGATTTAATGTAACATAAAACAAATGATTACTTTTCATTAAAATCTTTATTGATGCCAAAAATGCTTACATTTATGTGTCTTTTTGTTCGCTCGGGCAGCCATGTTGCCCCTGAAACCGGTGTACGCTGAGATAATTCATACCCCTTCGTTTGAAGTGTGGTCCCGAAATATCTTTGTTTGAAGGGCAGTCTGGCCCTTGCCCTACCCCTACCCCTCCAATCAAAAGAGAATTGAGACACCCATACCCCTTCACGTGAACGCGCGAAACGGAGGGGCAGGGGAAAGGGCAAGGGCAAGGGCTAAGGGGTAGAATTGGGATTGGGCCTTAAAGTTTACATTCTTTTAATTCAGCTTAGAGGCCAAGCAGATTCTATTGGCAACATCTTGAATTGTGTATGTATATACAGTACATAAGCATTTGTCAGTTCATAGCCAGAATAAGGAGCAAAATGGATCAGGCATTGTGTGGATCAAATATCTGGCTATGTGAAACTAATGCACCTTCATCCCACTGGTGCTTTGGGTTAAAGCATTCAGTTTGCAGAACTGACATGAAATATCCTCAACATGTGTACACACCTGCACACACACACAGCTGCTGATTGTTGATGATCCAGCCAGCTCATAAAATCAGTGAATC